GTATATAATTGTATTGATGCAGCACATGAAATGAGCATGCATGCCACAATTTATGATTAAAGCAGCCCAGTACAAATAAGTTACAGAGCAAGGTACCGAGATTCACGCTTCATCATTCACTTTAGAACTATAACTATGTGCAACTATACAAAGTTCTTACAAATAAATCCACTATCATTTGATACTCACAAATTTGAAAAGACATATAATCATCTTAAATATACAAACTTAGATAATAAGTGCACTATAATCTGATATTCACAAATCAACAATGCAAAATTAGTGATATAATAATCTGATATTCATAAATGCAATAATGTCTCAATAATTGAAGTATAATTTGATATTCACAAATGCAAGATTAAATGGTATAATCTGATCATCTGAACTATCAAGGTTGATCATCTGACCTATCAACAACATGATCAATGAGAGGGTGTTGATTAGAGGAAGGGAAGTATTTCTGACGCAATGCATCATAAAAAGATTTTTCAGTAGCTTGAAGGTCTAAAGGATCATGGAACATACAGGGGCTTCTGTTCCATTTCCTCTTCTATAAACATTTGGCTAATGTACTTAATAACATCATTAACTTTAGTTATGTGCTAATTTGCTCTATAAAATCACATCTCACCACTACTTAAACCCAGAAAGAAAGAACTCATCAATTCAAATTGTTGTACCTACATCGAGAAAGCATCTAACATAGTAAATTTGATTCTCTAATAAATTCATTCAATGGAGATATGATTTAGAGAAAGCTATATCATATTGCAGGAAAAAAAGCAAATAACTCATTCATTGAAAATCGGTAACCATGTGTATCCTTCTCTAAAAAAAGACAAGAAAAAATAAAGTGATAATCTGCCATACTTACAATAATGTCATCAATGTATATCATGAAAAAACAACATGGTGCAGCAGTAAGATAAAAGGAACTTTGCTTGATGTTACAATGACAAACTAAATTTTATGCAATTAAAGTAAAATTAACCCCTAATTCTGAATAAGTATCTCTTAATATCACTTAATATTCACCCTACACTAATGCACTATGCACGATAAAGTTAGAAAAATATAATAATTAGCATATAAACACTACATATCAATAAGGAGGGAAAAAACACTTTAAATAAAAACCACTACTAAAATCATACAAAATATCTTGAATACTAACTTTAGATCTATCAAGTAAAGAAATTCAATATATACTGGTCCATCATTCATGCAAAAACATAATGTCATTGATATATAAATAATGTCACAAGGTAAATAGTGGTACTACAAGACAAAACAATACACTCCAAAAAAAATTAAAAAAAAACTCACTATAAATACAACACATTATCTAAATCGAAATTAAAGCAAATAACTCATACCATCAAATTATGAAAGAAATAAAAAAAAAAAAAAACATCCCAACCAATATATAGATAAAACACAAACTCTTTATTCATCCTAACTTACCAAATGACTCAAACACTAGCCACAAAAAATTATAACTACCATCTCCCTCTTATTAACCAAAAATCAATTCTTGCTTACATAAAAATACCGTTTTATCAATAAATAAAAGCACAATCAGCAACAAAGTTCGTGGTAAAACAGGGAATCAACACCAAAGTTGGTGGTAATGTATTCCCTTAAAATACACTTTAATATAATTATGTTGTCGTTGGTTGAATACACTGCGTAAGCAACATATTTATATTAAAGTGTATCAATAAAACCCAAGTTCTGCGTTGAAGCCAATGTAGTTGGCGTTTATGTAAAGCAAATGAAATTCATTTCCATCAGATGAATCCAACTCCAACAGAACAACTTGGGAGAAGTGTGCTAACATGAGAAAATATAAAATTTTACAGATTTTCCATGTTAGATACAGGTATATGTATTTATTTAGGTCGGTTGTCAATAAATAATATTATATAAAATTTGACAACTAAACACCTAAATAAAACCCAAGTTGAGTGGTAAAGCCAATGGAGATGGTGTTTACATGAAAGAAATGGAACAACATTCCATTAAATTATACCAACTCCTACCAAACAACTTGGGAAAAATAATTTGGAGGATTTTGCACGTTGGATACAAATGAAAAAGGTTTTACAAATCATTAGAAAAATTTGTAATTTAAAGAATTTAAGTTCTTAACAGATGTAAAATTACAACAATATCTTGTAATTTTTTTTTACTGAGACAATCAATAATAGTATTGCTTTTACTTATTAAATGCACTTAACTCTTTCTCAATACCACTGATTCATTTGCTTACAAATATGTTCCTTACGTTCATTTCTTTTTGCAATCAAAATCATGAAAGATATTTACATATATTGCTAATTTACACTCAAATGACATATATATTCAATAGGTTTTCATTTTGCTCTTATAATAACATGTGTACAAATTATATTATCGTATAGATTCGACAAAGTTCCAATTTTGAACTTCGACATCTTACTCCGTATTCTTAGATTCTTTAAAATTACTAAGTCCTATAATTTACCTTATATAGCTCATTTAAAAATAATAGTAACATTGATATTACAAGCCTGGTCAAGATAAATATTCAATTGTATTAGATTTCCTGTAGATAATTATTAATTAGTGAACTTAAAGTGAAACTACTATACACTAAAGCATAACACTAGAAGCAAAAAATTAATACTCTCACACAAAATTAATCTCACTCAAGTTACTTTATTGTTGCTATTACTCCGTACTATATAACTTTTAAGAGTGGCCATTAACTTCAAAGAAAGTGTTTCTAATGAATTATATTTCAACGACATATAGGATCTGAGTTTCTTTATGTTTTATTCATGCACTATGTCATGGCTTGCGTGAACTGTCTTAAGTTAAGACAATACCTTTTCATTTGCTACTACTTACTATATAATTTCATTTCTTTTTTCCTATAAAATTTTAAGCTCCAAATTTCACAGCTACTGTCTTAAGATACTATAAATATCTAGCAAATACGTCTAACTCATTGCATAATCAGTTATCCCCTTCCTTATCTTAAGAGAAGATAAATCAAAAATCGAAATATAGTATATGCAATGTAACATGTTCCTGACAATGATAAAGTTTCCAGATTAGCATGATATGTAATAAATCACAATTAGTAAATTATTTATCCCTTCAATTCAATATTACATAACTCAATAAAAACCAATTCAAAGTAACTAATTATCCCATAAAATGACAATCTGAAAAGACACAAAAAAAGAAAAAACAAAGTAATCAACTGTAAAAGCTTACGGATTCTAAAAAAAAAAGAGAAATAAATTACAACAATAATACAACAACAAAAAACAAAATACTTCTGCACGCATAAAGAAAAAAGATTCGAAACATTAAAAAAACTGATTATTTATAAGCAGTTCAATATTTTATTAACTTGCATTCACATAATTATTGACATTCTAGACTTTGACTCCACAATAATAAACCTTTCGTAAGGCTATGGGTAACCTAAACAATTTCAAGAAGCAGAAGTACCACCATAACAACAACAACTTCCACAACCAACAACAACAATTCCCAAGGTAACAATCGTCAAAGAGGACGTAACTTCAATGGAGGGGATAAAAACAACAACCAAGGGAATAAAAGATATAAGAGGCGTTATTTTTGCAAAAGGTGCAAGAATAACCATCCTGGAAGGGACTGTGATGGAAATTTGGTTGTTTGTTGTGCTTGTAACAAGCTGGGGCATAGAGAGTACGAATGTTTCTCCAAAGGTTCTAATGGGAATAAACAAATTAAAGCAACAATTCAGGAGGGACCCAAAGGAACTTTCAGGGAAACAAAAATAACTTCAATGGAAATAAGGGAGCACAACAGAATGGAGAAAAGAACAGCAATAACAGCAACAATGGGAACAATCAGCAGAAAAGTGGAGCTGCAGGAAAATTGAATGTGTTAAGTACACATGAGGTTGATTCCACGAAAGATGTCATCACTGGTACTTTTTCTATCCACTCTATTCCTGTTAAAGTTTTATTTGATTCTGGTGCAACTTTTTCTTTCATTTCGAAAAGAATTGTTTCGAAACTTAAAGACTCTTTGAAAATAGTAGAAGTAGTAGATTTGCCAATAACCATTCCAACGGGAGGGGTAGTTAATTGTAACAAAACCTTTAGGAATGTACCATTAGAGATCGAAGGGAAAGTGTTTCAGTCTGACGTGGTTGAGTTTGGGTTAAAGGATTTTGATGTCATCCTAGGAATGGATTAGTTGAGCAAATAAAATGCTGAAATAAGTTGTCGGTCGCAGAAAGTAAAAATGATCACAAGTGAGAATGAGGCAGTGACTTATTGGATGCATGGCAAAGCCAAATTCCCTAGGTTGATTTGTGTGTTGAAGTTGGCAAAGTACATGAAAAATGGGCATCCAGTGTACTTTTGTAGTGTGAGGAACGTGGATCATGAGGAGGCAACTAAGCCAGAAGATATAGAAGTGGTGAATGAATTTCTGGATGTATTTCCGGACGAAATCCCTGGAATTCCACCCAAGAGAGCAATCAATTTTACTATAGACTTAGTCCCAGGGACATCGCCAATATCCAAGTTACCATATCGGATGGCACCTGCAGAGATAAGTGAGTTAAAGGAGCAGTTGCAGGATCTGTTGGACAAAGGGTACATCAGACCGAGTGCATCCCCTTGAGGAGCACCAGTTTTGTTTGTTAAAAAGAAAGATGGGAGCATGAGGTTATGCATTGACTGTAGAGAATTGAATAAGGTGACAACAAAGAACAAATATCCACTTCCCAGGATTGATGAATTATTTGATCAGTTGAAAGGCGCAACCGTGTTTCTAAGATTGATTTGAGGTATGGGTATCATCAGTTGAGAATTGCGGATGAAGACATTCCTAAAACCCCTTTTAGGACAAGATATGGACACTATGAGTTTATAGTTATGCCACTTGGATTGACAAATGCTCCAGCAATCTTCATGGATTTGATGAATAGGGTGTTTCATTAGTACATGGATAAGTTTGTAGTAGTGTTCATAGACGATATATTGGTGTATTTGAGGAACAAAGAAGAGCATGTAGAGCACCTGAGAGCAATTCTGCAAACACTGAGAGAAAGCAATCTTTTTGCAAAGTTCTTTAAGTGTGAATTTTGGTTGGAAAAGATAGCATTCTTAGGTCATTTTGTGTCTAAGGATGGCGTGGAAGTAGATCCAGCCAAAATTAAAGTTGTGAAGGGTTGGCCTATGCCCAAAATAGTGTCTAATGTTCGGAGTTTCCTAGGTTTAGCAGGATATTATAGGCGTTTTGTGAAATATTTCTCGAAGATTGCTAAACCTATGACTACTCTAATGAAGAAGGACAAGAAGTTTGAGTGGGATGATAAGTGTGAAGAAGCATTCCAAATCTTGGAATAGAAGCTAGTTACAGAACCAATGCTAACTCTGCTAGACGATAGTGTGTAGACGCCTACTTTTGGCCTCTTGTCCTGAAAAGGAAGTGCGATGATGTTACAAAAACCCGTTCTTCATGCTGGATCGAAGTTGAATTGTTTATGGACTACGAAAAGCATTATGAAGTAAGTTAAAACCCTTATTTGAGACCAAGTTATCTTAGAGCCTTGTCCGATTACTAATTAGGCCTAAAACGTGTTCATACATGTTTAAACGTGATTAATAACGGACCCAAATGCGTCAAATGCAATGATTGGATCCAATAGAACCTACATTGTTGAAAACCGAGAAAAACAGATAAAACAACCATAAAATTCCTGTTCAAGGCATATAAATATGGATAGCCCTTCTAAAGATCTTTCCAACGGTATATTATAAGCCCAATTCTGAGCCAAAACGAAGAAGTTATGATCAAAGCACTAAACCGGGCCCAAAACCGACACCCTTTCACTCCAACGGCCATAACTTTTGATTCATAACAGATTTTAACCTAATTTTAACGGCATTGGAAAGTATACATCCAGAGATTTCCAATGATATCTCACACGACTAAATTTGACTTTGCAATCAAAAGTTATGGAAGTTTTAAAAATGCATTTTTGTATAAGGCTAACTGCAAACCAGCAGGCGCGAGCGACTCATTAAGATGCGCGCGGCACCCCAGCGCGACTCATAGAATTGCGCGCGACACATGACGGAGCGACTCTAAAACCCTAAACCGAGATTCCTACGCCTATAAAAAGGGTCTTCGCACAACTCTAAAGACAGAAAAAATCAGAATTAATAACCCTAAATTTCTGAAATCCCTAATCTCTCAAACCCTCTTACTATCATACTACTTTTCCCTCTTTATTCCCAACTACTCTTCAACCCTAATCTATCCATTGAATCCCTTGGAGGTACAAAGAATAAAGAAGGTCCATAAACATCTAAGACGGAGATTTAAGCATACATAGAAGAACGATTAGTTTCCTGAGCACTTGGATAAATCACTTTTCTTTTTTTGTTTAAACAACTTTAATTGATTAATTAGTGTTGTTTGATAACTTTTAAAAAAAATTTAACTAATTAATTCACATAGTACTCTTTCATTAATCAAGACTAGAATTTGAATAATTAATTGATTGTTTTATCACTGAAGACAAGGCGAATATTGTTTACTTCTTGTTCTTTTCACGAATTTGATCAAATAAGAATAACGACTTTTTCAATGTAATTCCTATATGATTAATGTGTGTAAATAAAATCAATTAACATAGTTTTAGGTATCACGTTGCATATATTATTTGGTGATGAAATTGTGCAAAGGAAGAGCTAGTAGAGGCCGCACTAAGGCTAGGATCGTGATTCCCCTCTAAAGGGAACATTAACTTGGTACCCTCGCTCCCGAACTCATTTCTAGTTTATGTAGACCAATTTGGGCATGGGTAAACTTATGATTCATGCTAAATATCCTTTAAACTCTACTTGGGAGAAAGGCATGAACGAGGTTTATGGATTTTCCTAAAACTCTTTGGCGACTCCTACTTGTTCCTTACAAAAAAGCATGTATGATAGAATCATTTCTAGCTAATTCAAGGTCCCCCAAACAGTCAGGAATTCAAATCCTAATACATCTTAATAAGTGTAAAGTCCTAGGCTTTTAAAGGGCCATGGGCATTTAAGGAGAGTACCCCTTACGATGGGATCACCCTCCTTAAAGTGGCGACTCCACTGGGGACTTAGAGGTTACATGATTAGTTCGTAGTTATGATCTAAGGTTTCCAACACTAGGTTTCCTATGGGTTGTAACGAGAACTAACTTGGATAATCTCTAGTTAGAGAGCGAGACTTGAACGCATAATATCTTCCTTCTTCACAAAAGTAAAACCAAACAAGCAACATTGCATCATGCATAAGTATATCACACTTAAACATTGGGGATTGGCTCATAGACTAAGGGTTGCCAACACTAGGCTTCTATCCCGAAATCAATAACAATCATCCCACCCATATCGCCAACAAAATGTTGGGAGAGCGATGTCATAAGTCAACTCGTTGAGTGATTGATTTGTGCATCGTTTCTTAAGATATGGTACCTTGGACACCCAAGCCTTTTTTGACCTTAGAATGACATTGTATGCTTAGACGATTCCTTTTATGTGCTGATGTGACTACATGAATATGTGCTTCGTGTCTAATCTAACTAATTCCAACTTGTTACCTAGAGATATAATAAAAAAAATCGCAAAAGTTGTGGTTCGACAAAAAAAAAAAAAGCCGAACCTACCAGGTGGCACGCGCAACTGTTGAAGTTGCTTGTGCCCTCCAAGCGCAAGTTCAGAAGTTGCGCGCGGCACCTCCGCGCAACACTGTGTCTTGCGCACGCCCACTGTTCAACGATGACTTTGACTCGTTACGAGCAATATCATATGGAGAAAACGATATTACCGCTTCAAGGTTAATCGGCTTCAAGGTTAATCGTTAAGTGGGTGCTAAAATATCTCTTTGGCTAACAACGTTGTCTAACTTTTACTTTGATCGTTTTTTTTTTTGTTTTTTTCGAAAAATCCAAAAACATGTTTTTTTTTCATTCTCCGTGTGTTTACGCAAAAAAAAGGGGGGGGGCATGTGGAATATGTTACTCTAGAAGTTGCACCTTCCACCTTAACGCAAGACGGAAAATTGTGCGCGATACTATTTTTGATTATGATGATTCGTTTACGTACTTTATAATCAAACTAATGGCATTACTTCTCATGAAGTTCATCATTAGAAATTCACATCCCTTAATAGGACGTTATCAATATGTTTACGTGTCTATTCTCGTGTTCATCATTTTTTTTAGTTGTAATTGGTCAACCTTAATTTAAGAGTATAATTTATTTACCTCTTCTATGGTTTAAAAAGAAAATCCCGAGAACTTTACTTCGGATGATTGCCTCACACAAAAAAAAAAAGAAATAGAACGAAAAAAAATGAAATATTGTTCTTAAAAAAAAAAGAGAGAGAGAGAGAGTATGATACAAAAAATATTACTCTAAAAAAAAGAGAAAATAATGAATGATAAAACCGAGAAAATGGTTTAATTATTTCTTGGATTTTACATTCGGAGGCCATCATTCTTTTTAAGCAAATATTAAAATATCATCCTTTAAAGATAAGCAATATGAGAATCATAATTAAAAAAAAACGATATTGATCTCTATTGTAATCTAAATGATCAACAAATACTATAATATATTCGATCATTTTAAGGAGTATGTTCGGGTCGATTAATATTTCTAAAAAATTGATGCGCACTTTCAATCCAACTTTCTTCTCTTTCTGTTCTACCTTTTTCGAAAACAATTTATTTTGAGTAAAATATCCTTAAATGATTACCTTGTTGAAGTCAACACAAATCATGACATTCCATTAATGATTGTTCGTGAATTTTTTGACATTCTTCATCAACAAACTTGCTTAAAGTGAATAAGGATAAAAAAAAAAGGGTAAAACAATCATTTTGACTTTGGTTCATTGTTTGAATGATTGGCATAAAAGGTTTAAGTGAACGCGCTCAATTTCTCGTGACACACATTACTAGGTCATATTCCACATTCGCATACTAGTCCAATCATGGGTGACAAAGCAGCATTGGAGAAACTTAGAAAGGAACTTCAAAACCTAAAGGCCCTACGAGAAGAAGAAGCCTAATTAAAGGCTCATAAAAAAGCAGAAAAGGCTAAAATAAAAGCAGAGAAAGAAAAATAAAACATTCTGCAAGAAAAAGCAAGAGCCGAAAAGCTAGAGGCCTTGGAGAAAATTGTCCTTTGAGCTAGCTCAGGGACTAAGTACTTCAATTAGGAGCTTGCACCACAACCTAGTGGCAAGAGGCTCCCAGAAAAGTTCTTGACTACAAATTTTCCAACCTTTAAGGTTACAGACAATCGTAGGACTCACTTAATGAGCTTTATTGGAATTATGGCATTGAAAGGGGTTGAGTAAAGTCTATATGTGTAGACACCTAAAAATGTCTCCCCAAAACCAAATCTGATGATAAATAACCTTTCACTGCCACTATTGGTCGGGTTTAGTATTTAATCCCGAGAGTGCTTAAAAAATCGTATTTTATTAAATTCATACCTCTGAAAGGTCCATGGATTAGTCTAGATGTTTGGTAAAAGCATAGTTTTAATTTTATCCCAATCTTATTAATTAATTTTAAGCCCAAACCTTTTTATTTTATTATTTCATTTTTTATTTTTGGCCCAAACATTTTATTTTATTATTTTCTTATTTTAGCCCGAGTAATTAAAGTCAGAAAAAAGCCCGAAATTATCAATCGACACTTAAAAAGCCGAAAGAAATTAGGGTTAAAAATGAATTTAGACGGAAAAATGGACTGGAAGTGACCGTGTCACGGTACAGTCTGACCGTGTCACGAGAACCCTTCCCGTCTGACGGTGGGACTTCCCGTGACACGGGAGGTCTGCCGTGACACGGGACGTTCCGTTTCCTTTCCGCGTAAACCCTTAACGCGTTTTTCATTCCGTTTTCAGAAAATTTCCCGCGTCACTCCAAAACTGTACCGTGTCACGGGAAAGTGTACCGTCTAACGGTACAGTCTGACCGTGTCACGGTACAGTCTGACCGTGTCACGGCGAGATACTTTTTTAGGGTTTTTATCGTTTTAGGGTTCCGTGTGCTCCCTCAGCACATTTTCCCTATAAATACTCCCTCATTTCTGATGTACGGGACAACCAGAATTTTATTATTCTTATTTTCTCTCTTCTAAGTTATTAACCTTAACACTAGCCTACCCTTTTTACTTCAAAATTCCTTCTTCAAGCACTCAAAGGAGTCCATATTTTACTCGAGGTTCTGTCCTTAAGCCAAGGCGTGAAAGGTAGAATCGTTTGAGGGTTTGGCCCCAAAATCAACCTTATTTTATTTAATTTAATTTAGTTATTGTTTTATTATTTCCTTGAAGTTACTAACTC